AATCTACGTTCGTAAGAGTCGGTAATTAGCTAAACAAATTTGCAAATTTTACAACTAAAGCGCTATATAAATTTCTACATTAAAAATTTCACTGCATTTATGTGTAATTAATGCACAATTCATTGCCAATCAACTGAACTCCTTACAGTATAAAAAATAATTATGCACTGTAACAGTAGAATTTAGGTGGGAAATTTATTGTTTAATTAATTTAGTATAAGGAGTATAATATTTGTAAATTGTAGACAATGCCATGACCAGTACAATCCTGTAATATATCGATATTTGTAACTTAGACATATCTTTCATCTAGAGAAATTAGAGTAACAAATCAACATAGGTGTAACATTTTAATCTAAAAATAAAATTAATTACAAAAGGAACCCACACGCTGAGAGTTTCATAACAATATCACAATAATAACAATTTCAACATACATATAAAAAAAATAAAGGCGTCCACAACAACATAATATTACAGATACATACAGTGCGTTCATGTGTATACAGGATGTTTCAAGAAGAACATGTCATCATTGACTTTTTTAATGGAACACCCTGTATATTATACCATTTTTGAACCGCTGATTTTAGAGATATGGTATGTTATACAAAAAGTGTTCAGAATTTACCGTACAATTAATTCAAAAATGGCATGTTACACAGGGTGTCCAATTAAAAAAAAAATCAGTGTTGACTGCATAATTTTCTTCTCGAGATCACCTGTATACAATTTTGTTACATTAAAAAATCCTAAAAAAATACTAATCGACGTATCCGAGCGTTTTTCCAAAAAATAATTACCTGAATTTTAAACGAATTTGTTCCTTTCATCTTGAACGCACTGTATACTCAGAGTATGTCATGACCATTTTATTTTAATAAATCATTTGTAAGGTGCTAAATAATAATATACCATCCCCTCTCCTGCACAAGTTCCCTAGTTCCTTCAGGGTGTTTTGGAAAAAGGTATCACAAATTTAGAGACTGATACACCCGACATTAAAATATAATAACCGCTTTTCCAAGATCACGAGCTTATTTTTTGTTTTGGCAAGGGCCTCAAAGGTAGTTTTTTAAAGTCAAGTCTGTCATATCTTTTCCAAACAAGCAGCAGTCATCATTGAAACGTCAAATTCGCAAACATTTAAATTATAACTATCGAAGGGTTAAAATTATTGATGAGTCTGATACTAGTTTATTGAATGCATTAAGAAAATTACGGCAGAAGGTAACGGTGGGGCTCGAGTTTCCTGTAAACTCAAAATTTAGTCCAGACTTGCTACCTAACTTAGTGGTCAAATTACTAGCAATTTAGAAAGTTACTGCATTCAAAGTAGAGCAGGAGAATAGGGGCTTACAGGACGTATCTCCGTGGAAATGTCCTATAAATGTAGTTGATACCATCAAACTGTAATTGGGATCCATGTGGTTTATTTGTAAGAACAGATTGGAAGTTTTCATTCGAGCGTACAATTTCTTTTACCGCAAATATCTTTAAAGTCTTAATTATTATTTCAAAATAATAAAATCAATTTTGATTATGTTCCAGGTGTATTACTGATATGATTAACGATGAACAATTTGTATAAATATAAATCTTAACCATCGAAATGTTCTTAGATTTTGTTTCAAAAACATTTCTTTGGTAAATGAATTAGAATCTGTTTTTATTACTTCACTGGATATTTTATTACCATTTATATATATTTATCTGCATAATTCTGGAAAATTAGACCAAACACTTGGCTGTTTCAAAAATCGGGCCTACCTCGAATTTTATGGGCTTAAAAATTAAGTAAAAAATACATAGAATAAATTACATAAATACACTAAATTTGTGTATTTGTAGAGGACGAGCGTCATATTGGTTATAACAAAAGAAAAAAAAATAATTGCTCTTTTTTCAGTTTTTCGCTTATATCTCCGAAAATAAGCATCTAATCGACATGAGGTATACTTATCGATTTTGTTCCTGATGAAATTTGCTACCAGGATAGGTGTTTAAGAAAGCTCGCAATTTTTTTTTTATATCAGAAAATTAGCGGTGAAGAAAAAATGTGCAAAATTTTCAGCATTATTTAAATAAAATGAACGAATTTGGCTGAAATTGAATAAAACTACAGGAAAAGATAACTCTTGGGGTGCTCAACAAACACCCGCGATCTGGATGCCCAGTTTCAAAATGGCGGTCTATTACAAAATTATAAAGTCGAAAACGCGAGCGCGTATATCTTCTGCCCAAGTCAAGGTATCGAAATTTGGTAAAAAAATGATCGAATGGTAATTACATTATCTCGCGTCTGAGTAAATTTCAGATTTTTAAGTTGCAAAATAAAAATGATATTAACAAAAAACCAAAGGTCTCTTGTGAAAATATGTTAGTTTATGATGTTTTAAATGCCCCCTCAAAAAATCAGCATGTTCAATCAAAATCATGTCCAAAATCAATCATGTTTTAAAATTTCCAAAATAGTCGAAAATTGATTTTTTTATTTTTAATTTTGTTATTTTGTTTGTTTGTTCTTGTTATTTTATCATTTTCTAGGTTGAAAAAAATCTCGATTTTAGATTTAAATAAATTTATTTTTAGAGGTCGCTCGAAAACATTTTAGGTACATTACTTTTAAAGACAAAATAATTATGAGTGACCTTTAGTAATTAAAATATCGTTTTGAAATTTTCAGAATCGAGATTTCTTTCAACCTAGAAAATGATAAAATAACGCGAAAAAAAATTTAAAATAAAATTCAATTTTTGACGATTTTTGAAATTTTTTAAAACCTTGAGCGACCTCAAAAAAATTTTTTTTTGAACTGAAGGGGCTCTTTAAACATTATAAACTAACAAGAGACACGAAAAAAAATATTCGTTTTTTTTTTGGGCCACCCTGGTACATATACAAAAACAAACAAGCAACTTTTACTTCTGCAAAATTGCTATAGCACTTTCAGAATGGACGGATTTAGAGAAAAAACTTATTTTGAAATATTTTTAATTGTTGAAAGTCATATTTCATTCAGGAGGTACACAACAATACTGGAATGAAACCCAGCTTCAAAATGTAAACCGAACATTAACAAATTTTTTGGATTATTTTGAAATATTTAAACTGCTTGTTCGACGGAAAATTAAATAATGGTTTTTATTAAGTTTTGAAAAATACCCTGCTGAAATATGCCGCAGATAAATAATTTGAGTTGATATTGGAATAGGAATCAGTTTAAAACTTTTTCTTAAAAAATATTAGTAGTAATGAGGATATTTATCTGTTATGGTTATTCAGAAGCAGTAATTTTCCATAAACCCAAATTCTTTTACAACTTGACTGCCAATATACAGGGTGTAGGAAGTTTGACTGCCATTACTTCAATATGATATTGAGTAAACCTAAATGAACAAAAAAGTTGTATATTACAGGGACATAAAATTAACAGTTTTCAAAATACAGCGAGTATTAATATTGGGGAGTTTCATCACAACGTGACAACAGCGCTTATCCTGCTGATTCACACCACGTGTACACGCGGCAGACTTGTCCTACGGAAAAAATGTAAACAGCTATTATTGTGAAACATTTAGTAAATTTCAAGACAATTGTTTTCCAGTTTTTAAATAAATAAAATTAAATGTATCGATTTTGTAATACAAAGATAGTGTTGTGCTCGAATTTTAGTAATTATGAATCTCTTAAAAGAGGAACTTAACTTTTAATCAAATTACGTGTTTGAAAAATATGTAATTAAAGTATCCAAAGGTTCACGTCGTCCAAATAATCATACGTATTAAAAATAATTTAGGTAGTTACCAAAATGCAAAATTCAGTAATTTTTAAACGCACAAGTATAAAACAAACTATAACATATGTTCAAATTGTCCACCACCATTTTCAATGCACGCATGACACCTTCGAATCCAATTTTCGCGCATCCGCTAGAAAACACCAAGAAAAGGAAATAGTGGTACGCAAAAAACACTCAGACACGGTCCAATTCCAGATACCAACTGAATTGCGTAATGCTGGACAACTTAGTACCTTGTGTTATCCGCCGCGCCGTTGCCACATTGCTCGATATGAATTTTACCGAATTTTAAATTTATTACAACGCTAATTATTTTTTAGAATTAAGCATAAATAAGTTCAAAAAAGCGATAGATATTGTATTTTATGGCATTATATGCACGCAGTTATGTCAATATTCCTTAATTAATCGAACTTTTGTACATCAAGTTGTTTAGGACCCATGACATATAAGTTTTTTTGTTTATTTTAATGTATTCTATCGTCTGTTAAAATTAAGGCAGTCAAACTTTTAACACTCTGTATTATAGAACGACACATTAAATTGGACAAGCTCCACATCGTGAGCGAAATAGTCTTTTATCGAAGGAAAACAAATAAAAAGCATTATTTGTGACATAAATTGTTAATAACATTTTTCCTCTCTATGTAGCGCTTGTGCATTTTAATGCGTTGTTCTGTAACACTTTTGTAGCCGATTTGTGGATGAATTTTAGGATTTATGACAGTCACGACGTTTTGGGTTTCAGCAGACTGGACTAATCAATCCTATCTGAGTATTTATCTTGAAAAAATAACACTCTAATCAACCACTAATGAGTGCCCGGAAAACGAATACCAAGCGAATCGTTCTCTTATTTCAGTAAATTAGACGTAACCAACAACGTAATATAATTAAGTTGCTAGAGACGTGCTATACGAATACAAACCGGCTCTGATTGTTCCAAAATATATACTGTGCGCGATGTTATTAAAGGAAGTTTACCAAAAACAAAATTGAATTAGTTACCAAAGAAACTATTTCAGGCTTACAATTAGTTAATATATTATCTTATGTTTGTATCGCACAACCACCACTATGGTTATTATCAAAGTTCCTAGACATTACGTCGTAATAGCTATCAATATTTAATAAACAAGCTTGTTTATGATTGCATGCTTCAACAGAGACGTTAATTAAGTTTTTTTTTTTGTTACAGTCAATGGAGGAGACACCGTCTTCAAGATATCTTTCCTGCTGCAATGCATCCTGGTAACATTTTTTCATCTACCCTTGCGTTTTGGTAAGTTGAAGCTACGACTACAGGGTGTTGTTTTGAAAATAGCAAATACCACAACATACAATTTTAAACTTAAACCTTTTAAAACATCAGAAATTATCAGAAAGGTGGTGATTGCGCACCCTGTTCCTTAAATATAACTACAGTATTTTACTGCCTCGCCAAGAATATTTTGTCTGTATGTTGTGGCATTATTTTCAAAACTGCACTTTTAGTGGTAGTTTATTATGTTTAAGATATCACAGGTATATTTGTGCATCAAACCACTTACTTAAAATACTAAAAAGGACGTTAATACATAATTTTTTTGGGAATACTAGTATAGTATTTGCTTTATATTCTTAATATTCTAGATACAAAGCAATTTGTTGGAAATTTCACGATATACAGGGTGTCAATAAATAAGTACGAAAAAATTCAGGGGGTGATTCCCTGTCGAAAATAAAGTTGGGTCTTTCATACAAACAAATCTCATTTGAACAACCGTTTGAAGAGAGTGCCAAAAAAGTAGTTTTTAATTTTTTTCTGAAATACCAAAAAAGTGACAGAAATGAAATTAAGTAGACGTTCTCTGATATCGAGAAGGAACTCAGTAAACAATTTATTAATTTTCCCTTGCAGTTATAAGGGGTAGAAAAAAAACACCCTTAAACCTTGTTTCATACGTAACTTTTTTTCTTATTGCTACCTTACCATTTAAAAATTCATTTCAGATATCTTGATTCATTTGAAACAAAAAAGGCCTCTTGTAATTTTTTTTCTTGTTTCCGAAATTTATTTTCAACATACGGACTTCGGACGAAATGTTTGATAATTCTGAATTTGTTTTTAAAGCAATAAATAGTAAATTAAAGCATATTTTCGACTGTATCATCACAATTACTTGGATGTTGAAAATTTGTAAAATTTGTAGGTAGTTTAATGTTATTTCGTTTTTAGGTATTCTCCTTGTGTTGTTTTAAAGGTTAGTTATAAAAATCGTTGTTTGTTATTTCAATAATGATGAATTTTAATTTTTCAATTGATTTTTTGTGAATGACTTTAAACATATACTTTATACTAGCAAAAAGAGATAAAGGAAAAGTCGTACATTTGTATTTAGAGTTTTTTCAATCTTTAATTATTAAACCCATGTCAAAATACAAAAAAAAACCTGTACATACAGTCCGCGAAGTACTAATAATCCACCTTGTATATTAAATAAATTTATCATCATCAAATATTAAAAAATATATATCACAAGCTCTTTAAAATATCACTACGAATTCTGTTTATTTAGAAATATATTTTCTGCAGTATATCAATACCAAAAATTGAAAATAATAGCTAATTAACGAAGTTATGATTAAATAACCTAATTGTGACACCGCTGCAGAATACATAAATATTCGTTGATTCATTTAAACAATTTTATCAATACCTACATTATCATATATTTAAGTAAATATAGTAACGAAAAAAACGGATATTGATAAAAAAAAGTGTACAAAATAAATCCATAAGTACGCATGGCAACATTGCCAAAGTGTTGTTTATATGTTGTTAGGATACACGTAGGAATGCGGGCCGCTGCATTTTTGATTCTTCCTAAAATTCTGCTGGTGGTGTACTCTATCGGCAATTCGAAAATTTAAAACTGCTGTCCCATTCCAGAAGCGGTCTGGGGCGAAGCTATATTGTCTGTGGTAATAACACAGACAATATAGCTTATCGCCAGTAATAAGAACGTATCTACCCCTTACAAACGTAGAAGAAAATCAATAAATTGTTTACTGAGTGCTTTCTCGATAGCAGAAAATGTCTACTTAATTTCATTTCTGTCACCTTTCTGGTATTTCAGAAATAAAATCAAAAACTAATTTTTTAGCACCCTCTTTAAGCGGTTATATCTTCACATGAGTGTTCAAATGAGATTTTTTTATATGAAAGACCCACCTTATTTTTTATGTTTATCGCACTTATTTATTTACACCCTGTATAAACAAACGTATCGACAAAAATTTTGCTTACTTACCTTTAATTTATGTGGTATCTGCTAAAAAATATAAAACCTAACGACCCAATTTTTTTAAACAAACTAATTTTGTCGTATTTCTTTCTAGGTTAAAGTCCCATCTTCAAGCCAAAACCATAATTCTCTAAATATTTTCTATATTTGTGTATATTATAATATGAAATGTTATAAATCCTTAAATAAATTGTGTACATTTTCTAAAACGTGTTTCACTGTACCAATTTCCATTTATCAAAATCCGACAAACATCAAATCCAAACAAATTAAATAAAAATCAACCGTTTTATATTTTATACCCCTGAATGTTTGGGTATCAGTAACACAGCAGTGTTTACAGTCATAATGAAGTAGGGTCGTGATGACACAAATGACCATGCATATAAACTGAGCAAGTCCTAGAAATAATTCAGGTGACAAAAATTGTTATAATTAATCAATACCTACTACCCGCTCACGTTATTTGACATAGGAATTGTTTTGGTGGGTATAAAATAATTAAACCTTTGGCGTAATGAAAGATGCATAACCACGAGCTCGTAAAAATAATGAAACCTTTGGCGTAATGAAATATGCGTAACCACGAGCTCGTTTTTAAATAATTTTGTTGGACTAGACTTCCAATAAATGTAAAAATATTGAAAATCAAATGTGTAAAGGAAATGTGTCACAGTACAGCTGTTGTACTGGGTATTTTTATTTTTGTGTTCGACGGTACATTGTGTAATAGTTTTCATAAAGGAGAATACATTATCTTTCTGGGGATCAGCTTGGTAACCTTGGATTTGACTTTCAAGGTGAGATGATGATTTCCGTATCCGTGAGGTCCGGTTTTCATGATTTGGAAGACATAAAAATGTAACATTATACTTCTTAATGAGATGATAACTTAATCACGTCCTCGGTAGTCAAATGTCTCGCTCTTTCACAATCCGGTGTCAGAAATTGTATTACCATTAAAAAAACAAGAGTTGACCTTCAAATAATCTTATACATGACCTTGAAAATAAATCAATAACCTGTCCGAACGAAAAATTTCTTACTCTTTAAGTATCCTGGGTCAGAAATTATGTTACCATCAGAAACCAAGGAGTGACCTTCAAATAACCTTGAACATAATATTAAAAAATGAATCGATTACATAAAATTTCTCGCTCTTTCAGAGCACTGGGACGAAAATTGTATTATCTTCAATAAACAAGAGTTGACCTTCAAATAACCTTGAAAATAACCTTAAAAAATAAATGAACTATGTGTTCGAACGCAAAATTTCTAGCTCTTTCAGAATCTGGGGCATAAATCGTATTACCATCAAAAACCACGAACCGACTTTCAGATAACCTTGAACATAATCTTAAAAATGAATCAACTACATATAATTTCTCGCTCTTTCAGAACACTAGAACCAAAATTGTATTATCATCAATAAACAAAAGTTCACCTTCAAATAACCTTGAAAATGACCTTAAAAATTAAATGAACTATGTGTTCGACCGTAAAATTTCTTGCTCTTTCAAAATCTGGGTCAGAAATCGTATTGCCATCAAAAACCACGAACCGACCTTCAAATAACCTTGAACATAATCTTAAAAAATGAATCAACTACATATAATTTCTCGCTCTTTCAGAACACTAGGACCAAAATTGTATTATCATCAATAAACAAAAGTTGACCTTCAAATAACCTTGAACAAGAGCTAACTTCGTCAAACGGACACCGGATTCGGATTCAGCGACCCCAATTGTGGTCCAGATATTGATTTTTTTCCCGTGGGGCTGTGCAATTTCAGTATTTTAAATTTTAATCCAAGGTCATCGAAGATGGCTGAATTAGACTTGAAACAGCTGGTTTACGTATGCCGTGACCATAACACAGCCCCACAAAAAAATTGAAATTATTTTCTCCGATATCTGAGGAGGTGCACTTTATGTTTTTGGGGTTGCTGAATCCGAATCCGGGGTCCGTTTAACCCCATCACGTCAGGGTCAAGGACATCTGAAGGTCAAATTACGGAATGACTATTAAAAAATCTGGAAAAATTTATATATATGTTTTCGGGGTCGCTAAATCTGAATCTGGGGTTCTCTTGACCTTGAAGTGTCAGAATCAAGGTCAAATAAAGGTCAAAACCCTAAAATTTGATGATATGATNGAAATTTATTGTTTAATTAATTTAGTATAAGGAGTATAATATTTGTAAATTGTAGACAATGCCATGACCAGTACAATCCTGTAATATATCGATATTTGTAACTTAGACATATCTTTCATCTAGAGAAATTAGAGTAACAAATCAACATAGGTATAACATTTTAATCTAAAAATAAAATTAATTACAAAAGGAACCCACACGCTGAGAGTTTCATAACAATATCACAATAATAACAATTTCAACATACATATAAAAAAAATAAAGGCGTCCACAACAACATAATATTACAGATACATACAGTGCGTTCATGTGTATACAGGATGTTTCAAGAAGAACATGTCATCATTGACTTTTTTAATGGAACACCCTGTATATTATACCATTTTTGAACCGCTGATTTTAGAGATATGGTATGTTATACAAAAAATGTTCAGAATTTACCGTACAATTAATTCAAAAATGGCATGTTATACAGGGTGTCCAATTAAAAAGAAATCAGTGATGACTGCATAATTTTCTTCTCGAGATCCCCTGTATACAATTTTGTTATGTTAAAAATTCCTAAAAAAATACTAATCGACGTATCCGAGCGTTTTTCCAAAAAATAATTACCTGAATTTTAAACGAATTTGTTCCTTTCATCTTGAACGCACTGTATACTCAGAGTATGTCATGACCATTTTATTTTAATAAATCATTTGTACGCTGCTAAATAATAATATACCATCCCCTCTCCTGCACAAGTTCCCTAATTCCTTCAGGGTGTTTTGGAAAAAGGTATCACAAATTTAGAGACTGATACACCCGACATTAAAATATAATAACCACTTTCCCAAGATCAGTAGCTTATTTTTTGTTTTGGCAAGGGCCTCAAAGGTAGTTTTTTAAAGTCAAGTCTGTCATATCTTTTCCAAACAAGCAGCAGTCATCATTGAAACGTCAAATTCGCAAACATTTAAATTATAACTATCGAAGGGTTAAAATTATTGATGAGTCTGATACTAGTTTATTGAATGCATTAAGAAAATTACGGCAGAAGGTAACGGTGGGGCTCGAGTTTCCTGTAAACTCAAAATTTAGTCCAGACTTGCTACCTAACTTAGTGGTCAAATTACTAGCAATTTAGAAAGTTACTGCATTCAAAGTAGAGCAGGAGAATAGGGGCTTACAGGACGTATCTCCGTGGAAATGTCCTATAAATGTAGTTGATACCATCAAACTGTAATTGGGATCCATGTGGTTTATTTGTAAGAAGTTGGAAGTTTTCATTCTACCGTACAATTTCTTTTACCGCAAATGTCTTTAAAGTCTTATTTATTATTCCAAAATAATAAAATCAATTTTGATTATGTTCCAGGTGTATTACTGATATGATTAACGATGAACAATTTGTATAAATATAAATCTTAACCATCGAAATGTTCTTAGATTTTGTTTCAAAAACATTTCTTTGGTAAATGAATTAGAATCTGTTTTTATTACTTCACTGGATATTTTATTACCATTTATATATATTTATCTGCATAATTCTGGAAAATTAGACCAAACACTTGGCTGTTTCAAAAATCGGGCCTACCTCGAATTTTATGGGCTTAAAAATTAAGTAAAAAATACATAGAATAAATTACATAAATACACTAAATTTGTGTATTTGTAGAGGACGAGCGTCATATTGGTTATAACAAAAGAAAAAAAAATAATTGCTCTTTTTTCAGTTTTTCGCTTATATCTCCGAAAATAAGCATCTAATCGACATGAGGTATACTTATCGATTTTGTTCCTGATGAAATTTGCTACCAGGATAGGTGTTTAAGAAAGCTCGCAATTTTTTTTTTATATCAGAAAATTAGCGGTGAAGAAAAAATGTGCAAAATTTTCAGCATTATTTAAATAAAATGAACGAATTTGGCTGAAATTGAATAAAACTACAGGAAAAGATAACTCTTGGGGTGCTCAACAAACACCCGCGATCTGGATGCCCAGTTTCAAAATGGCGGTCTATTACAAAATTATAAAGTCGAAAACGCGAGCGCGTATATCTTCTGCCCAAGTCAAGGTATCGAAATTTGGTAAAAAAATGATCGAATGGTAATTACATTATCTCGCGTCTGAGTAAATTTCAGATTTTTAAGTTGCAAAATAAAAATGATATTAACAAAAAACCAAAGGTCTCTTGTGAAAATATGTTAGTTTATGATGTTTTAAATGCCCCCTCAAAAAATCAGCATGTTCAATCAAAATCATGTCCAAAATCAATCATGTTTTAAAATTTCCAAAATAGTCGAAAATTGATTTTTTTATTTTTAATTTTGTTATTTTGTTTGTTTGTTCTTGTTATTTTATCATTTTCTAGGTTGAAAAAAATCTCGATTTTAGATTTAAATAAATTTATTTTTAGAGGTCGCTCGAAAACATTTTAGGTACATTACTTTTAAAGACAAAATAATTATGAGTGACCTTTAGTAATTAAAATATCGTTTTGAAATTTTCAGAATCGAGATTTCTTTCAACCTAGAAAATGATAAAATAACGCGAAAAAAAATTTAAAATAAAATTCAATTTTTGACGATTTTTGAAATTTTTTAAAACCTTGAGCGACCTCAAAAAAATTTTTTTTTGAACTGAAGGGGCTCTTTAAACATTATAAACTAACAAGAGACACGAAAAAAAATATTCGTTTTTTTTTTGGGCCACCCTGGTACATATACAAAAACAAACAAGCAACTTTTACTTCTGCAAAATTGCTATAGCACTTTCAGAATGGACGGATTTAGAGAAAAAACTTATTTTGAAATATTTTTAATTGTTGAAAGTCATATTTCATTCAGGACGTACACAACAATACTGGAATGAAACCCAGCTTCAAAATGTAAACCGAACATTAACAAATTTTTTGGATTATTTTGAAATATTTAAACTGCTTGTTCGACGGAAAATTAAATAATGGTTTTTATTAAGTTTTGAAAAATACCCTGCTGAAATATGCCGCAGATAAATAATTTGAGTTGATATTGGAATAGGAATCAGTTTAAAACTTTTTCTTAAAAAATATTAGTAGTAATGAGGATATTTATCTGTTATGGTTATTCAGAAGCAGTAATTTTCCATAAACCCAAATTCTTTTACAACTTGACTGCCAATATACAGGGTGTAGGAAGTTTGACTGCCATTACTTCAATATGATATTGAGTAAACCTAAATGAACAAAAAAGTTGTATATTACAGGGACATAAAATTAACAGTTTTCAAAATACAGCGAGTATTAATATTGGGGAGTTTCATCACAACGTGACAACAGCGCTTATCCTGCTGATTCACACCACGTGTACACGCGGCAGACTTGTCCTACGGAAAAAATGTAAACAGCTATTATTGTGAAACATTTAGTAAATTTCAAGACAATTGTTTTCCAGTTTTTAAATAAATAAAATTAAATGTATCGATTTTGTAATACAAAGATAGTGTTGTGCTCGAATTTTAGTAATTATGAATCTCTTAAAAGAGGAACTTAACTTTTAATCAAATTACGTGTTTGAAAAATATGTAATTAAAGTATCCAAAGGTTCACGTCGTCCAAATAATCATACGTATTAAAAATAATTTAGGTAGTTACCAAAATGCAAAATTCAGTAATTTTTAAACGCACAAGTATAAAACAAACTATAACATATGTTCAAATTGTCCACCACCATTTTCAATGCACGCATGACACCTTCGAATCCAATTTTCGCGCATCCGCTAGAAAACACCAAGAAAAGGAAATAGTGGTACGCAAAAAACACTCAGACACGGTCCAATTCCAGATACCAACTGAATTGCGTAATGCTGGACAACTTAGTACCTTGTGTTATCCGCCGCGCCGTTGCCACATTGCTCGATATGAATTTTACCGAATTTTAAATTTATTACAACGCTAATTATTTTTTAGAATTAAGCATAAATAAGTTCAAAAAAGCGATAGATATTGTATTTTATGGCATTATATGCACGCAGTTATGTCAATATTCCTTAATTAATCGAACTTTTGTACATCAAGTTGTTTAGGACCCATGACATATAAGTTTTTTTGTTTATTTTAATGTATTCTATCGTCTGTTAAAATTAAGGCAGTCAAACTTTTAACACTCTGTATTATAGAACGACACATTAAATTGGACAAGCTCCACATCGTGAGCGAAATAGTCTTTTATCGAAGGAAAACAAATAAAAAGCATTATTTGTGACATAAATTGTTAATAACATTTTTCCTCTCTATGTAGCGCTTGTGCATTTTAATGCGTTGTTCTGTAACACTTTTGTAGCCGATTTGTGGATGAATTTTAGGATTTATGACAGTCACGACGTTTTGGGTTTCAGCAGACTGGACTAATCAATCCTATCTGAGTATTTATCTTGAAAAAATAACACTCTAATCAACCACTAATGAGTGCCCGGAAAACGAATACCAAGCGAATCGTTCTCTTATTTCAGTAAATTAGACGTAACCAACAACGTAATATAATTAAGTTGCTAGAGACGTGCTATACGAATACAAACCGGCTCTGATTGTTCCAAAATATATACTGTGCGCGATGTTATTAAAGGAAGTTTACCAAAAACAAAATTGAATTAGTTACCAAAGAAACTATTTCAGGCTTACAATTAGTTAATATATTATCTTATGTTTGTATCGCACAACCACCACTATGGTTATTATCAAAGTTCCTAGACATTACGTCGTAATAGCTATCAATATTTAATAAACAAGCTTGTTTATGATTGCATGCTTCAACAGAGACGTTAATTAAGTTTTTTTTTTTGTTACAGTCAATGGAGGAGACACCGTCTTCAAGATATCTTTCCTGCTGCAATGCATCCTGGTAACATTTTTTCATCTACCCTTGCGTTTTGGTAAGTTGAAGCTACGACTACAGGGTGTTGTTTTGAAAATAGCAAATACCACAACATACAATTTTAAACTTAAACCTTTTAAAACATCAGAAATTATCAGAAAGGTGGTGATTGCGCACCCTGTTCCTTAAATATAACTACAGTATTTTACTGCCTCGCCAAGAATATTTTGTCTGTATGTTGTGGCATTATTTTCAAAACTGCACTTTTAGTGGTAGTTTATTATGTTTAAGATATCACAGGTATATTTGTGCATCAAACCACTTACTTAAAATACTAAAAAGGACGTTAATACATAATTTTTTTGGGAATACTAGTATAGTATTTGCTTTATATTCTTAATATTCTAGATACAAAGCAATTTGTTGGAAATTTCACGATATACAGGGTGTCAATAAATAAGTACGAAAAAATTCAGGGGGTGATTCCCTGTCGAAAATAAAGTTGGGTCTTTCATACAAACAAATCTCATTTGAACAACCGTTTGAAGAGAGTGCCAAAAAAGTAGTTTTTAATTTTTTTCTGAAATACCAAAAAAGTGACAGAAATGAAATTAAGTAGACGTTCTCTGATATCGAGAAGGAACTCAGTAAACAATTTATTAATTTTCCCTTGCAGTTATAAGGGGTAGAAAAAAAACACCCTTAAACCTTGTTTCATACGTAACTTTTTTTCTTATTGCTACCTTACCATTTAAAAATTCATTTCAGATATCTTGATTCATTTGAAACAAAAAAGGCCTCTTGCAATTTTTTTCTTGTTTCCGAAATTTATTTTCAACATACGGACTTCGGACGAAATGTTTGATAATTCTGAATTTGTTTTTAAAGCAATAAATAGTAAATTAAAGCATATTTTCGACTGTATCATCACAATTACTTGGATGTTGAAAATTTGTCAAAATTGTAGGTAGTTTAATGTTATTTCGTTTTTTGGTATTCTCCTTATGTTGTTTGAAGGTTAGTTATAAAAATCGTTGTTTGTTATTTCAATAATGACGAATTTTAATTTTTCAATTGATTTTTTTGTGAATGACTTTAAACATATACTTTATACTAGCAAAAAGAGATAAAGGAAAAGTCGTACATTTGTATTTAAAGTTTTTTCAATCTTTAATTATTAAACCTATAAGTGGATGTCAAAATACAAAAAAAAACCTGTACATACAGTCCGCGAAGTACTAATAATCCACCTTGTATATTAAATAAATTTATCATCATCAAATATTAAAAAATATATATCACAAGCTCTTTAAAATATCACTACGAATTCTGTTTATTTAGAAATATATTTTCTGCAGTATATCAATACCAAAAATTGAAAATAATAGCTAATTAACGAAGTTATGATTAAATAACCTAATTGTGACACCGCTGCAGAATACATAAATATTCGTTGATTCATTTAAACAATTTTATCAATACCTACATTATCATATATTTAAGTAAATATAGTAACGAAAAAAACGGATATTGATAAAAAAAAGTGTACAAAATAAATCCATAAGTACGCATGGCAACATTGCCAAAGTGTTGTTTATATGTTGTTAGGATACACGTAGGAATGCGGGCCGCTGCATTTTTGATTCTTCCTAAAATTCTGCTGGTGGTGTACTCTATCGGCAATTCGAAAATTTAAAACTGCTGTCCCATTCCAGAAGCGGTCTGGGGCGAAGCTATATTGTCTGTGGTAATAACACAGACAATATAGCTTATCGCCAGTAATAAGAACGTATCTACCCCTTACAAACGTAGAAGAAAATCAATAAATTGTTTACTGAGTGCTTTCTCGATAGCAGAAAATGTCTACTTAATTTCATTTCTGTCACCTTTCTGGTATTTCAGAAATAAAATCAAAAACTAATTTTTTAGCACCCTCTTTAAGCGGTTATATCTTCACATGAGTGTTCAAATGAGATTTTTTTATATGAAAGACCCACCTTATTTTTTATGTTTATCGCACTTATTTATTTACACCCTGTATAAACAAACGTATCGACAAAAATTTTGCTTACTTACCTTTAATTTATGTGGTATCTGCTAAAAAATATAAAACCTAACGACCCAATTTTTTTAAACAAACTAATTTTGTCGTATTTCTTTCTAGGTTAAAGTCCCATCTTCAAGCCAAAACCATAATTCTCTAAATATTTTCTATATTTGTGTATATTATAATATGAAATGTTATAAATCCTTAAATAAATTGTGTACATTTTCTAAAACGTGTTTCACTGTACCAATTTCCATTTATCAAAATCCGACAAACATCAAATCCAAACAAATTAAATAAAAATCAACCGTTTTATATTTTATACCCCTGAATGTTTGGGTATCAGTAACACAGCAGTGTTTACAGTCATAATGAAGTAGGGTCGTGATGACACAAATGACCATGCATATAAACTGAGCAAGTCCTAGAAATAATTCAGGTGACAAAAATTGTTATAATTAATCAATACCTACTACCCGCTCACGTTATTTGACATAGGAATTGTTTTGGTGGGTATAAAATAATTAAACCTTTGGCGTAATGAAAGATGCATAACCACGAGCTCGTAAAAATAATGAAACCTTTGGCGTAATGAAATATGCGTAACCACGAGCTCGTTTTTAAATAATTTTGTTGGACTAGACTTCCAATAAATGTAAAAATATTGAAAATCAAATGTGTAAAGGAAATGTGTCACAGTACAGCTGTTGTACTGGGTATTTTTATTTTTGTGTTCGACGGTACATTGTGTAATAGTTTTCATAAAGGAGAATACATTATCTTTCTGGGGATCAGCTTGGTAACCTTGGATTTGACTTTCAAGGTGAGATGATGATTTCCGTATCCGTGAGGTCCGGTTTTCATGATTTGGAAGACATAAAAATGTAACATTATACTTCTTAATGAGATGATAACTTAATCACGTCCTCGGTAGTCAAATGTCTCGCTCTTTCACAATCCGGTGTGAGAAATTGTATTACCATTAAAAAAACAAGAGTTGACCTTCAAATAATCTTAAACATGACCTTGAAAATAAATCAATAACCTGTCCGAACGAAAAATTTCTTACTCTTTAAGTATCCTGGGTCAGAAATTATGTTACCATCAGAAACCAAGGAGTGACCTTCAAATAACCTTGAACATAATATTAAAAAATGAATCGATTACATAAAATTTCTCGCTCTTTCAGAGCACTGGGACGAAAATTGTATTATCTTCAATAAACAAGAGTTGACCTTCAAATAACCTTGAAAATAACCTTAAAAAATAAATGAACTATGTGTTCGAACGCAAAATTTCTAGCTCTTTCAGAATCTGGGGCATAAATCGTATTACCATCAAAAACCACGAACCGACTTTCAGATAACCTTGAACATAATCTTAAAAATGAATCAACTACATATAATTTCTCGCTCTTTCAGAACACTAGAACCAAAATTGTATTATCATCAATAAACAAAAGTTCACCTTCAAATAACCTTGAAAATGACCTTAAAAATTAAATGAACTATGTGTTCGACCGTAAAATTTCTTGCTCTTTCAAAATCTGGGTCAGAAATCGTATTGCCATCAAAAACCACGAACCGACCTTCAAATAACCTTGAACATAATCTTAAAAAATGAATCAACTACATATAATTTCTCGCTCTTTCAGAACACTAGGACCAAAATTGTATTATCATCAATAAACAAAAGTTGACCTTCAAATAACCTTGAACAAGAGCTAACTTCGTCAAACGGACACCGGATTCGGATTCAGCGACCCCAATTGTGGTCCAGATATTGATTTTTTTCCCGTGGGGCTGTGCAATTTCAGTATTTTAAATTTTAATCCAAGGTCATCGAAGATGGCTGAATTAGACTTGAAACAGCTGGTTTACGTATGCCGTGACCATAACACAGCCCCACAAAAAAATTGAAATTATTTTCTCCGATATCTGAGGAGGTGCACTTTATGTTTTTGGGGTTGCTGAATCCGAATCCGGGGTCCGTTTAACCCCATCACGTCAGGGTCAAGGGCATCTGAAGGTCAAATTGCGGAATGACTATTAAAAAATCTGGAAAAATTTATATATATGTTTTCGGGGTCGCTAAATCTGAATCTGGGGTTCTCTTGACCTTGAAGTGTCAGAATCAAGGTCAAATAAAGGTCAAAACCCTAAAATTTGATGATATGATCATTTTGACCCCGGATTCTTGAAGAGCAGAAAATTTTACGTCCGAATATGTATTGACTTTTTTTTTAGAACAGACCTTTGTAGGTCACGTGATGGTCATCCAAAATCAAATCCATTTTCCAGCTTTTGGCTGTAAATTGAGATCTTGGGTCTTTGATGAGTTGATATTTTTCGGGTCGTTGATCACGATTCTGGTATTCATTTGAGCCAATCACGTCGTAATATAACGATATAATATTTTCTTACTCCGGATTCTGAAAGAGTGAAAAATTTCATCCGTGTGTTTGCATCCAGGGCACCTCCCCGTGGTGACGGCGGGCAACGGAGTTGTCCCGCTATCCGGCAAAGTCCCTGGAACAGGACGCGTATGCCGTCATGGCAAACACAACGGAGAAATTTACGATGCAGGGGGATGGAACCCCAGTATCGGCGGCTGGTCAGGGTGGGAAAGCGGGCCCGCAGGCGTCGTCATCCAGTGACCGCGGCTCTGTTGAGGTGGCTACCTTGGCCTCACCAGAGTATAAAGCTACAAGTAGTAGAACCCATAGACATGAGCATGACAACCCAAAAACCCCATATCATTTCTGTTATGTTTGTGGTAAATACGTATTCGGATGTAAAATTTTCTGCTCTTTCGGAATCCGGGGTCAAAAATATCATATCATCAAATTTTAGGGTTTTGACCTTTATTTGACCTTGATTCTGACACTTCAAGGTCAAGAGAACCCCAGATTCAGATTTAGCGACCCCGAAAACATGTATATAAATTTTTCCAGATTTTTTAATATTCATTCCGCAATTTGACCTTCAGATGCCCTTGACCCTGACGTGATGGGGTTAAACGGACCCTGGATTCGGATTCAGCAACCCCAAAAACATAAAGTGTACCTCCTCAGATATCGGAGAAAATAATTACAATTTTTTTTGTGGGGTTGTGTAATAGTGATTGTATGGATATTTCTGCCCGTTGTAGACTTATAAAAGAGCCGAAATCATATCGCAGACATCGCGGCCTAATTTGTAACCACCCCGTGCGACTTTCTCTAATGCATTTCCAGCGAAATATTTCGTTGCTCTTCCGTAACCCCATTAGTACTTTTGTTTTTGAACGTGACTTTAATATCGGCCCTGCCTCCTAAATCGAAACTTACGTTATTGGATTTCCTATAAGGAGATATGATAGCTTTGTTTGCACTGCGCGAAACAGTGCTGAATCCCGATGGGAGGAAGTGAAGCTACACTTTACTCAGAATTCAACATAAACGAACAGCGGATAGAAGTAAACAATAATAATGGGGGTAAATAATAATGGGTATTTATTGCTGTTTAAACAGGCAGCGGTGAATTAATGGGATTTTCGATTGCCTAATTTTTTGTTTCCGCTTCTCGGGTACGAAGCTAGATACTATGTTTTGTAAAAGTACACTGTAAAAAAAGTTCACTCAAATTTCACTCAATTTCACTCAATACACCCGATTAAGTGAAATTTTTCACATGAGTACAACTGAGTGAAACTATTGCATCAGAAATGAGGGAGTTACTCAAATCCGAGTTACTGCTAACTATCAACTGAGTAACTTTTGACTCCATTCTGAGTATATAAAATTTAGAGTTGACTTTATCTCTAATATGATTTAAATTTAATTATTATTGAGTCATTATAAGATATTTATTTCGTGGAATGGAAAATTTTGGTGGAAACAAAGGCGAGTGTCATTCTGTATGTCTCAAAAGTTGTAGAAGAAAATTATTTAAATATACTAAAAGTCAATTTTAGAAAAAGAAGCGATTTTGTGTCATACTCTCATTTTGCTTTTTTATGTAAACATTGATTAAATTCAAATATAGTAGAAGTCTTCTCTGTTCAATATTTGGAAAAAAAGAAGGAACTTTGTACTATCTGTCATACGTTTTTTTATCAGTAAAAGATAAGTTACTAGACCAGATCTGTTGAGTGTGACGAAGCGATGCTCATACAGCGTTTTGCCGACATTTACAGTACGTTAACAACATATCAACGTGTTCACTATTGGTATATACCTACAGTACCCTACTGTACCACACAAAAAAAAAAACGATTTTTTTTTTCATGTCTCTTGTGCAAATATGTTAGTTTATCATGTTTTAAGAGACCCCTCAAAAAATCAGCTCATAAAAAAATTTTTTAGAGGTCGCTCAAGATTTTTAAAATTTCAAAAATCGTCAAAAATTGAAATTTGTTTTTTTATTTTTTTTTCTTATTATTTTATCATTTTCTTGGTTGAAAAAAATCTCGATTCTGAAAATTTCAAATCGATATTTTAATTTCTAAAGATCACTTATAATTATTTTAATTTGAAAAGTAGTGTACCTAATATGTTTTCGAGCGACCTCTAAAAGTAAATATCAACGAACTAATAATTTTTTTTATTGAATTTGATGAACAAAAGAATAGAAATAAATCAAGACACACTTAAAAAATTTCTCGAGGCAAAATTTACTACCGCACTGCGAGTATCAAATATTTATAATTTTTTAATTTTTTAAAATTTAAGTCGTGATTTGTTTCTATTCTTTTGTTCATCAAATTGACTAAAAAAATTAGAGGTCACTCGAAAACAGGTACATTACTTTGAAAATTAAAATAATTATGAGTGACCTTTAGAAATTAAAATATCGATTTGAAATTTTCAGAATCGAGATTTTTTTCAACCTAGAAAATTTTCTAGGATGAAATTTTATAATTATAAAATAACGAGAAAAAAAATTTTTTTAAATTCAATTTTTGACGATTTTGGAAATTTTTAAAAATCTGGAGCTACTTATTATCTCTAAAAAATTTTTTTTGAGCTGATTTTTTGAGGGGGCTCTTAAAAAATGATAAACTAACATATTTTCGCAAGACACGAAAAAAATCGTTTTTATTTGGGCCACCCTAATATACAGCGTGGTGTTGAAATATGGGCCTCTGCTATTCAGTTGGTAAAACAAAACGTGCCTTAATCGCAAATCTATAAAATCCAGAATGCCTTGGAAATTTGGAAAAATCTGATTCTACTCATCAGTAAAATGTTAC